ATCAAAATTTATCATGTACGAATTAGATTGCATTTTGTAAATTCAGAGAAAATACTTTATTACCTGGCTTATCTTAGTGAACTCACAGTTTTATCGATACATCTCTTCCAAAACTAAATAAAAACTTCAAGTATAAGTGTCTAGTCTTCAATTCCATCGAAGACCCAAGGAGGAATTATTACTACCTATGTAAACAGGAAATGCACTGCAAGCAGCTTCCCAGACTTTACAAATGGTAGAGACTTTACAAATGACTGTCTGAAACATCACCCAATCTATTTTGCAACATTGGGCATCCATCTTCAGTCTACATGACTACTGTATCTCTCAGATATTTCAGTCAAGCAAGAAAGTTGAAATACTTTTCTCCCTTGTATTAACAAATTTCATCAGTTGCTTTTCTCTGTATCCTGCATAAATGTAACACATCATAATATAATTTTCTATGGAATCATACATTTTCAATATGGTCAGTATGATGATTTCAGTTGCACATATGCATGTGATATTTTAGAATGCCTTGACGTATGATGATGTGCATATCAATTTCACTTGTGAAGAGTGGACTTTGATGAATACTTCTCAGAAGAATCTCTACAAAGATGTGATGCTGGAGACCTACAAGAACCTCACTGATATAGGTAAGACTGAATTTTCCTTCATATTTAAAAATAATAGGACAACCGTTACTTGGTTATTGATGCTCTTCTTTAATTTTATTGAGAAAGAAACTAGAATGTTGTAAATAAATCAGTCAAAGTTCTAAAATTCACTAAAGACTTTAACTTTTCACTAGTTAATATACATTTTATGGTATTATGTTTTAGGATACAGTTGGGATGGTCATAACATCGAAGAACATTGTGCAAGTTCTAAAAGACATGGAAGGTAATTTTCATCTACCAGGTTGAGAAATTACCATTTGAATCAGTGCACCATGAGAGCGATGCTGTAGAACTGTAATTCCAGTTATTTTAGACTACATATATTACTAAAAGTTTAAGGTGGTTGAGGTGATAAGCATATCTCCAACCCTTCCATTAAGCAAATACTCCTTAGAAAAGCTAATGTTACTTATGTACTTACTGTTACTTTTATACGTTTCATGACAGTAGCAATTATTTTTAAGAGTCA